TAAATTTTTAGTCACTATGTTCTGTGCAATCATTCCCCTTTTTGTAAAGTGGACTGAATGTAAGAAGGCAAGCAGTCAGTCATGGGTTGGCCAGAGGTTTTGCTGTGGCTCCAGTCACAGTTAGGATTCCGAGGAGAGAAGAGAGCAGCGAGGAAACTGGAGGCTCAGAGAAGATCTGAAGCCACCCCCTAGTGCGGACCAGCACCCCGGGGGCAGAGGGGAGTCACTTCCCGCCAGATGTGCCCTTTCACCATCATCACAGGGCGTGATAGGAATGCATGTTCGAGAACTCAACGAAGTATAACTCACAGTGAGCTGGTCAGCCTCAAGTGAAGGTTGTCTTCTCCCTAGCTCAGCCCCCGTCTGTCCCCCCAACCTTGAGTCTCAAGGGAGTGTTAGTCTAGTGACCTGATGGCTTTGGTATACTCTGCAGCTGCTTCAGTTCTATGCAGCCCGAGTAAGCCTGTCAGTGGTCCATGGCTCCTCTGGCCTGACATTTGTTTCCCTCAAGCAAAGCAATCTGGCATTTAAGCTTCAACCCTTACCCGTCTCCAGCTCCTTAGGCTTGGCACGGGAAAGGGTCCCCCACTAAGATGGACCTTCTCGGGCCCTTATTTATATGTGCTCAAGGTTAGCTTTTCTTTTTTTAAATATTTTTTTACAAATTTGTGCTGCTTTTTTGTTTTGTTTTGCTTTCATTTTGTCTCACTTATATCTGCTTTCATAATTACTTTTCTATTTTCATTTCTTAATTTTTTAAAATGTCAAATTAGGCTTGCCTAATTCCACGTTTTCTTATATTTTCTAATTAATGCCCTTATTAGTCCTTGTCTTTCTGTTTGAATGTTTTTAATTCTCATCTGAATACTTGTTAGCCATGAATAACTGAAGTGTGTCTTTCACATTTTGAACAGAGGGGATTTGTTTTGGTTTATTTTGCTTTATTGACTTCTAATTTCATTCCCATGCTACCAGTGAATGTGATTTGTAGACTATCGTAATTGAGGGAGCTTTGAGGAACCTGTTTTAAGAGCCAAATCATAGTCTACTTCTATCAGTGTTTCACTGTGCCGTTTTGGAAAGTGAAGGCGGGCAGTCCAGTCGCTAAGTGTTGCATCCTTAAAATAGCAGCCGGTGCAAGTTGATGGCAGAGCTCTTCGGACGGTGCTCCTTCCCTGCCTGGCCCGCTCCGTGCCTCAAAGGAGCCAGGACTCCAAAGTGTCTGCTTGGAGCTTGTTGGCTGAGTGTGGCCCAGGAAACATTCTCAGTCCAAGGGACACAAAAGGACTGTTCCATCTTTGCAAACAATGAACCTGGATTCTTTTAGCCCTAGCTGATTAACCTATGAAGCCTTTGGTTGGTACAAACCAGCTGCTAAACACAGGTTGCTGATCTGAGTCTTCCCAGATGCACCTCAAAAGAGAGGCCTGGTGAGCTTCTTCCGAAAAATCAACCTACAGAGCACCGTTGTACTCTCACCCACGTGACGCGGCTATGAGTTGGCATGAACCCTATGGGATTGGTGGTTGAACTAGCCCGTGAGACCGGCTCTGGTTTCAGGTTGTTGGCTGTCTTGACGGCTGCCATCGTGGAGGTATGGGTGGTGATGACTGTACAAGGGTAAGGTTGCCTACCAAGCCACTCACCATGTTGATCCTAGCCTAGGGCTGTTGAGGCTAAGCTGGGGTAAGGGACGGACACTGTCTGCTGCCCTGGAGTTGACTCCAGTTAACAGCGAGTGACCTTACAGGACAGGGTAGACGTGCTCTCTGAGGTTTCTTCTCCCAACGTGCGGCTCATGGGTACGAACCCCTGACTGTGGTTAGCAGCACCATGCTTAATCCCTGTGCCAGCAGCGCGCCTTCACAGACCTGCAAGCATTTTGTAAACTGTTAATAAATGACTCACAGACTTGTAGTCAAGGTGACCCAGATTCGTGATGAGCCTTTGGGTGTCAGAATAAATCTCTGCTCCACAGAGCTTTTAATAGCTGGCTTTTCAGGCCTTTTTTCTGAGAAACCTCTAGGAGGTGGACTTGAAGCCCAGAGCCCTGGGGTATAGTGGTTATAAGTTGGACTGCTAATCACAAGATCAGCTGTTTGAAACAACCAGCCACTCCTTTGGAGAAAGACACGGCTTTTGAATTCTTTGAACAGTTACAGCCTTGTGGAAATGGTGGTCTTTGGACCTTGTTTGGGACTCCTGGCTTAGTGGGTGTCAAATGAAAGAGAACCCAGAGCCACCCTATATTTAGTACCTCAATGCTCCCCTTGCATTAATGTGACAGGTTTTAATCTGATAGGCAAGGATATGCCCTTGTAAGAAATATTACAGGAATTTCCCCCCTAGCACCAACCCCTTGCTCAACGTGAAAGAGTTCAATCAACTAAGATATCATTCAGTACAAAGCAACAATTCATGGATTTCAGCTTGCAATTGGACTATACTTGCATAAACTCCTCATATCAACAGTACCCTAAATTCTATGCTGCTGGGTAAATTATTGATGTTATCAGTGCAATCGCCTTATACCCCAGGGAGATGATTGACAATATTTTTATATTTGTTTGCTTGGGTTTTTTTGTTTTTTGGTGTTGGGGGGAGTTGTTCGTTTGTGTTTCTTGGTTTTTGTTGTTGTTGTTCTTGTTGGTTTTTGTTTTTGTCATAATATGACCGCCAAAGTAAACCGGAGTCATTCATAACCTGGAGATAAACAGATGGATTCCAAGCTCCCACTAAATTCTAGCCCAAACCCAAGAACAGTTAGTTCTTATAACATGGCCCTGCTCGATACTCTCTTTTATGAAGAGATGACTGAAGATAAGGGTGCAACAGCAAAATGTGGTAAAGAAAAGCGGTGCCTGGCTATCAACTGGAATAGTGTTTGAGGTCTTAAAGGCTTGTATTAAAACATCTAAGCAAGGAGTCAACTAAGTTCACACGGAAGAAGCACACCAGCCTGTGTGATACAAAGATGATGATAACAAAGTCCAAATCTGATGAAAGGAAAGGAGTATCAGAGCTTAAACTGTGACCACCCAATTTGTAGAAGGCTGTGGAGGACAGTGGGAGCCCAAAATCCATCTGCAGAGTATCTAGTCAGATTAAGCCTCTAGCAGATCCCTTCTGGCCACAGGCAAGGGACTCAGACAGCTTTGCTATCAGACAGAGACTACTGGACACTTGATTATGGTGGATCAAACTATGGTATCGTATGATACTTGGTCAGTTGACCTACCTCTTTTTTGTTTTAATAATTTTATTGGGGACACATACCACTCTTGTTACAATCCATACATACATCCACTGTGTCCAGCACATTTGTACATATGGTGTCATCATCATTTTCTTTTTCTTTTTCTTTAGCTATCTTTCCTTCTTTTTCTTTTTTTCTCTCTCTTTTTAAAATCATTTTATTGGGGGCTCACACAACTCTTATCACAACCATACATATATCCATTATGTCAAGTACATTTGTTGCCATCATCATTTTCAAAACATTTTTTTTCTATTTGAGCCCTTGATATCAGCTCCTCATTTTCCCCTCCCCAACCTTCCCTTCCTCATGAACCCATGATAATTTTTAGATTTTTTTTTTCATGTCTTACACCAACCTCTGTCTCCCTTCACCCACTTTTCTGTTGTCTGTCCCCCTGGGAGGGGATTATATGTCTATCATTATGATCGGTTCCTCCTCTCTCCCCCCACCTCCCCCTTACCCTCCTGGCATCACTACTCTCATTATTGGCCCTGAGGGGTTTATCTGTTCTGGATTCCCTGTGTTTCGAGCTCTTATCTGTGCCCATGTACATGCTCTGATCTAGCCAGATTTGTAAGGTAGAATTGGGGTCATGATAGTGGGTGGGGGAGGAACATTAGAGAAAGTTGTATGTTTCATCAGTGCTATACTGCACCCTGACTGGCTCTGCCTCTTCCTTATGACCATTCTGTAAGGGAGGTCCAACTGTCTGCAGATGGGCTTTGAATCTCCACCCCACCCTCTCCTTCATTCACATCAATGATTTTTTATTCTGGGTCTTTTTTTGGCCAGGTCTCATACTTG